ATTTGGGGCCCACAGTCATTCTTTATGGCTTTGTGGAGTATGACCAATTGATGTGTGTGTGTGTTTCTGTTTGTCTTACCTTGCTAACACATCCAGCAGTTAATAAAAACAGGAGAACTGATCATCTGACAATCTTGCCCAATTTTGCAGTCAAATCACAAAACTTGATCCAACAGGTTAGGATGGGATGGTTAACTATATTCTACAACACTGAGAATTTTGAAGAAATCAGTATGCTACTGCACAGTACTTCGGGGTGATAACATGTTTTAAGGACATTTACTATGGCAATACTACGGTGTTCTTTGAAGAACCTTGGTATACAAAATTGACACTGCTTAAATCCAATGAGTAGGCAATACAACAGAGGGACTTTAGGATAAAAACATGGCTGAGTGGCAGTTACTAAACTATACATGTTCGTATGAATGAAAGGCCGGCCCTGTAACAGCTTAGCTTCTTAGCTTAAAGTGTCTCCTCAAAATAAACCCCATCTAATTTTAATCAGTCTATCCCTGAAATCCAAACCTGTAGATGGGACTCCATCTAAACTCACTGGCACATAATCAGTCAAATACACAACTCAAAATCCAGAGTCCTTGGGTCTTTGGGGTTAATCTCCAGAACGGTGTACAACTTCAGAGCGGCTGCATTGAGCTCAAAGCCTATTCATGAGCTAAACACAAAAAACGTTGACTTTTGGCCCTCTGCCACTGATGGATTGAGTCCTCGTCTCTTCTATTGTGAAGCAAGACTCCATTGGCTGAGAGCTGGATTGTGTGGCGACACTGTCTGGGGCTTGACAAAAATTTTTTGGGGGGGGGGGGGGTCCCAATGTTTGACTTTGGCACAAGCAATGGGCACCAACTGTGAAGATAAACACAATTTAGAAGATCACATGACAACATAGTACAGCCATTCTAGGATATTCAGTTACCCTTTATACATCCTATAAATTTAGACTTCAAGCGAACCTAGATGTGTGCTTCTAGGGGCAATTATATTTAACAAATTTCTGTGCAAGCTAACAGGTGAGTGTGAATAATATGAGCAAGTTTCAGTTTGAACTTGCGGTCTGACAGATTTTTTTCAGTGTTATCACAGTGATTATGGACACAACTCTTCTGGCTTCTGCTAAAATAGGTCTCGGGGTGAAAAGTACAGTGGGAATTCACCTAAACATGAGTGTTTACATGTTGTCACTGAAATGTGCGCACATGTTTATATTTATGGTCCTCCTTTTCGTCCTTTCCTCTACAAATGAACCATTCATTTCCTCCTGAAATGGTCCACACAGAATGGTTTTCTTTCCTGCCTAGTGTGTTGGGATTACCATGTTAAAGAAGAGAGACCCAAAGGGTGTGACAGCATTCTTGAAGCAGCAAGAGCCACCCAAACAAGATCCATAACAGTACACTGATTCATGCGGTTATATTCAGTTTGAGAGATCTGTTATCTGCTTTGTCAACTCTTTTGAAAGCCTGATTTATTTATATTAAAAAGATGTATTATAAAGTGATAGTTCACAAAAAAAAAAAAATCTCAAACCTGTATAACTTCTGTTGAAAAACAACAACAACTGTTTTGCCCATACTATATTCTCCTTACTGTCAGTCAACCCCATTGACTTTCACTGTATGGAGAAAAAACTCTATTTTATTGCAGAGAATTAGAAAATGCATACAGGTGGAACATCAGTCGTGTTTTTCACATTATGGTCTGACTACTTATAGTGAGACTATATCTACGCAGCTAACATGATGACAATTTACTAAAGGATGAAGACAGTCTGTGCTCAGATTGTAACTTTAGCGTGTGAGGTAATGAAATGGCATGAAAATTACTTATGATTAGCATCAATGCCTCAAAAGAAACAAGTCAAATCTTGATCCCATACATTACAGTTTGGTTGCTAGTGCACACAGGAGGAAACAGTAAAATCCCTTAGCATTGAATAGTACTCTCTCGCTACTCCACATGTCTTGAGTTGTGTCTGTATGTAACGGTTGTCCCAAAGATGACCAGTGCACTGTGATTTACAGGCATGTAGGACAAAATTAACCCTAAAGGTATTTAGTCAACATCCCTGGACCCTGAACTCTGCCTGAATCCCATTATATCACAATGACATTTAAAAATGCTTCCCTTTTACTCAGACATCTGTTAACATTCACACTAAAAACTATTTAAAACCAAGCCGACTATCCTAAACGTGCTGGATGATCTGAAGATCTGGTCTATGGAGAGTGCTAGCTGCATAACAAACATGTGGTCTTGCAGGATCAAATTTTAGAACCTGTAAAGCACATATGAAAGTTAATTGGTTAGTCCAAGCAGACCATAATCCCCATGTGACCTGTTCCACCAAATAGCATTTGCAGTATTGAGGACTATCCAGCCAAACATTAGCAGGGTTTGGTATGGACCTGACTATAACCAAATGTCACAATCTGAGTGCTGAACTAACATGACATTTTGTTTTTTTTAGTAGTGGGAATGATGGGAACAGTGGTTTTCTGTCCATATCTAGAATAACAGACAGAAAGGAACAGAAAGGAGCAAGAGCGAGAAAGAGAGTGCTGTGATCATGTTTTATACTCTGTATTGAACAGGTCTGATCAGGAGAAGCATCGTGAGCATTCCTCTACCTCAGCAATATGAAGAGCAGCCATGAGATCAGCCTTTCTGTTATCACTCTTTCTCTCACACACATACACACAAATCAAAGTTTGGTGTCTGTAAGATTTTTTTATTATTTTTATTTCATTAAGCAAGAACACATTACACTGATCAAAATTTACAGTAAAGACATTTATAATGTTACAAAAGATTTATAATAGCCTAAATGTTGTTCTTCTGAAGTATTCCTAAAGAAGTGTTATTATCTTTTCCAAAAAATTAAGTAAATAAAGTATTGATAATCACAATAAATGTTTCTTGAGCAACAAATCAGCGTATTAGAATGATTTCTGAAGGCCCATGTGACACTGAAGACTGGAGTAATGACTACTGAATGACTGTTGTTTTGAATTATAGTAATAATTCACAATATTACATATTTTACTGTATTTTCGATCATATAAATGCAACCGTGGTGGGCCTAAATGTTTTATATATAAAAAAAATTAATGCCAACCCCAAACATTTGAATAGTAGTGGAATGTATGTGTGTGTGTGTGTGTGTGTTCCAAAAGGCGTGTATTGTCATATTTATTTGACTTCTTCAGGCTGCCCTAAAGGTAAGTATACTCTCAGACACACATATCAGACAAACCTGCCCACTAGCAAAATGTAGCCTCACATTTACAAACAGATGCCTACACATGAAATATCATAGACAAGGTGTTTAGTATTACTGTTGAGACCCCCTAGTTATAAAAACCCTGCAGCTGCCTTTCTCATGAAGCCTCCTGAAGAACAGAGTGGTGAAATTCTTCAGTCAAGAGTCATGATCTTAGAAGCATGCGGTGTTACTCTGAAGGGTTAAAGTTTAACACATCAGAGCAGACTCAAGAACAGCCCTCTACCTGACAACAGATACAGACAAACCTCAGACCTCTCTGAAGCATCTGAGTTAACCTGCTCTTCATACACAACTACTAGATAACCCAGTGACCCTTGGACAAATGTCTCTACAGCAAGATGGGTGGAATTGAATCGCCTCGCCGCCAAGTCGCCCAGAGACACAAAAAAGGACACAATAAATGGACCTAATTTAAGCCTCCGACATCTTGACAAGCAGTGGTGGGCTTGAATGAATGAGCGGGAGGCTATTTTGCTTTTAAACGCATTTGTTTCCAGTTACCTCTACAGCTATTGTGAGCTACAGATCACTGAGCCAGAGCTGCAGTGTTTCCTGAAAAACTGAACCATATGCAGCTTGGCCGGTTTTTGGGGGGATTGGATGTTTAGACTGACTTTGTAAATTGTACCCGGCTCACTCAATTACAAGGACAGACCGATTGCTCACAGGACAAAGCCCAGCAGCGCTCTTGGAGACGATACACTCCAGGTCAGAGGAAGTTCCTCGTAAAACGTAAGAACAACGAATGTTTGTGGTTCAATCAGCAGATGTAGCACAGCACAACCTGTTCGGAGCGTAATTGTGGCTTGGAGTGAAGAATGAGCACATGAGTGTACTAATAACAATGTACGTCTACTCCAAACACTTAATTTTGCCCCTCTTTCCGCCCCCCCGTTCTTTCCTTCTGGGCTCATTTTCAATATCAACCCGGCAAACCCAAACACATGAGGCTAAATTGAGTCCACACATATCAGTGTTTTCAAACTCGATGATGATTAAGAAAATATGGTTTCAGATAAAACATATCGCCTTCTTTCTTCACCTTCAGGGCAGCAGTCACATTTAAAAGAGAATGAAAGGCCAAGAGTGTTGTACACACACTTTCCTTCCTCTCTGCATGGTTGACCTCTTTATAGGCTTGCTGAGATGTAAAGGAGACGAGTGTAATGCAGAGAGCAGCTGGCGTGACAGGCCTGAGCACACACACACACACACACACACACACACACACACATTTGGAAGACACCGATAGTCATGAAGAGAGGTCACACACAGACACAGTCAAACCGGCTCTATGAAACCTACAGAAAAACAGCAGCACGCAGTCAGCTCTCAGTGGAGTGTATTCATGCTGAATCCACAGTTTCACTCCCCTCGGCTGCTTTACCTGCGTCAAGGACAGTACAGACCACCAACACACACTCTGAGCACTTATTCATTAAAAACACACACTGACTAAAGGTCCTATTCACGTATAACACGGATAACCAGCACACTGCATCACCACAAAGACGTTCCCCTATAGCTAAAGTGTATTCTCACACTGTTGACACAGTCAATCAGCAGCAGCACAGTAAAAGTCAGTAAAAACAGCAACAGTACCCCGTCTCCCACCCCTCCCCCATCCCTCCCCCATCTCAACCCCCGTAAAGTAAAGCCATTAGCACCTCTAAACTCCAGATTTGTCTGTACTCACCATGCTGTAGGCTGATTGTCCTTCCCTTCATTAGATTCATTTTCCAGCGAGTCCGGCAGCGTCCCGTACCACGGTTGAGTCTGTGTGTGCGTGCATGTGTGCTGAGTGGGCAAGTTTGTGTGTGTGCTGCTCACTAACCCTTCCAAACTGCAGGTCTCCGACACACTGACACACTCCCCACACACTGCAGCAGCTCACGAGGTAGAGACCGCCCACTCACTCCCTGCCCCTCCCCTCTCACACTGCCTGCCCGTCTGTCTGTCACTCTTCTGACCACACCCACACTCAAAGACCCTCCCAATCACACTCTATATTAGCTGCTGGAGCAAAGCAGACACAAGGGAAAAATAGTGTCAACCTGAATATGCAAACTACATATTAAATATGCAGCGTATTACAATCAAAAGAAAGTATTTTTAAGGCATAGTTTACTCAAAAATATATATTTATTGGGCACCAAAACTTTCTTCAAAATATCTTCTTTAATGCTTCACAGATGAAAAAGTCATACAGGTTTGAAAAGCCATGAGGGTGAGTAAATCACTAATTTCCATTTTTGGGTAAAGTATCCCATTGAAATTATGTTTTCACACAATCGCACATCAAATTCTGATCAGCTAAAACCATCCAACCAGTGTTGGTAATGTTACCTAAAACTGTTAAAACTTTCCAGTAACTGAAATAAACTAAAAAAAAACCTTAATAAAAAATGAATGCTGCCTTGACAACTAATGGAAATAAGTTTACTGTTTTTAAGTACTGAATTAATTAACATTGAAAAAAAAAAAGAAAGCTAAATAGACAAAAAAAGACAACTAATACAAATGACAAAAGCACATGAAAAGTGTAAAACTTTTAAAATTACAAGTGAAAATATGAATATAAAAGCTAATTCAAAATATTAAAGGGGTCATATGACGTTGCTAAAAAAGAACATTATTTGTATTATGTGTATTTGGTGTAATGAAATGTGTTTATGTGGTTTACGATTCAAAAAACACATTATTTTCCAGGTGTGCTCTGATTGGCCAGCTATCCAGTGCGTTGTGATTGGCCAAATAGCGTGTGACGGAAATGTTATGCTTCTTACCATACTGTGATGCTGTGTCTCGGCGCGACGAGACAAAAACATTAAAACCCATTATAAACGAGGCATAAACTTTTTTTGTAGAAGCATTTTTAAAATTTGAACTAACACCTCTATGTCTACACCACGTTATGTACGAGAAGCTGCAAAAGACACATGCGCAAGTGGAATGTACAAAACATGGTGACATTAATTTTTGAGTAAATATAATGGGCGATATATTGCGTCACCAAAAATTATTGAGGTCATGTACATATATTGCGCGATAAGTCGATATATTGATTATTGCGACAGGCCTACTTGTAACACACCAAAGATAAAGGAAAACTTGAAATCACATCATATGACCCCTTTAATATATATAATATACAGTCAAACCAAAAATTATTCAGACACCAGATACTATTTGATATTTTTTTACTAGTGGGTGCAGGAAACTATAATTTATAAATGTAAGTGAGGATAGCAAAATAAAGTGAACTGTGACATATTATACCCAAAAATTCTTCATACAGTGGACTACCAGTAAAATTTGGGATCAAAAAATATTCAGACACTTTCACCTGACCATGTTTTGCTTATGTGTTTTTCTTTAATTGCTAATGCATCCTTTTTTCATCACAGACTGAACAAAATTAAGTATTGCTTGGTAGTTGGTTGACCTAAATTGGTATTATCTAATTGTGTACTTAAATTTAACAGCTGAATATTTTTGGTTGATTGTAATCCATTACATACTTTTCTATCAAAGTTATCTGACATTATCAAGATGAATTTGTTCTGACACAGTTTAACTCTGAGCTCTTGTCATATTTTATTACCATTTTCTAAACTATAGCAAATAAACTGTGATATAATGTGAGAAATGTTGAAGCTGTCTGAATAAGTTTTGGTTTGACTGTAATAGTATATAAATAATATTAATATAATACATCCAACTGAACTCACTGACTCATTTAAGTAACCTTAACTGACTTTATGTGATATTATAAATTGGAACAGCACTTTTAAAATTAAATGTTTACCAAATTACATCATTCAGTCAAATTTAATTTACTGCACAGGACTGTTGACAAAACACAGTTGGAAATACTGTAATCTGGCTTTTCAGTGAGAAAGCTACATACACCCAGAGACTGGCTCCCTGCTGACAGAGTGAATGGACACAGAGCTTTAGTGGGAGGAGAAATGCTGTCCAAGATGAGTGATTGACACTTGATCTGCTTACCACTGTCTAAAAGATGAGAGAGGATCAACCAGGAGAAAGACAGACCGTGAGGGGTAAAGTGAACATGGGGCACAAGCGCCAAACGCACAGCTGGTCTAAGCAGAATTAAGTCACCTCTTAATACACAGTTAATTAATTAATTGAATGATTAATTAATTATTTGTACCTCAGAATGCTTTTTTCTTTCTTTAAAAGTCTGTATGCCTCTTTTTTGTTCATCTGCAGTTGTTGTTGTTTTTTCTACCATTACATTGCATATTTTTATTTTAAATTAATATCCAAACTTGATGACAGAATTGTCATTTTTGAGTGAACTTCAGCTAAAGCTTCTAAACAACAAACATGTCCATAATAACACTGCATCCATGTGTATACTACAGTTATAAAAGTATAGGGTCTATAAGATTTTTTCATGTTTTTGAAATAAGTATCTCATGCTCACTAAGGCTGCATTTATTTGAAAACGGTGATATTATAAAATAATTTTACAATTTAAAATAACTAGGTTTAAGCAATTTTTCAACCAATGCCTTTCAGTGTCATCTTGGATATTGATTTTCTTAAGTAACATTGACAGGGCCCTTAAATCAATCATTTAAAAATTAAAGTAGATAAAGCATTTAGGAAAATCAACAAATACAATACATTAATTCATAAATGTAAACAGATTTAATTAATATTGTTCAAATTAATTTGGTATTTATATTTCCCCTGCTGATAACAGCATGGGAAGCCCTCATACTCAAACATTTAGCTTGAGGCTGATCTGCAAGAGCACAAAGGAGATTTCTCAGATTGGTACCAACTACCAAGCTGCATGTAAACCTGAACAATGAGTTGAGGTCATACTAATTTGAACCCACATATGTGGGTCAGTGCGTTTAAGTTTTTCATCACTGGGTTAGGTTTGTCTATTTTTATAGGGGTCCAGTAGAGCCTGTGCAGTGTACGACCCATACCTCACTAAAAGTCTCTATGTCAAGCATGTGACCATTCCTCAATTAAAATATATTTACTTTTAACCAGGCATGTAAAAAACATATGTTCCTTTGGCTCTAGACCAGGGGTCTTCAACCTTTTACAGGCCAAAGATCACTCGATGGATAGAGAGATGGACCAGAGACCCCTGTAGTGTATAACTAAGTACAGCATTTTAAGCCTGGCCTATAATAGCATTGGTACAGTACCATATTAATGTATTTATATACTTTGTTATGATGTCTTCATTGCAAAACCTTTTTTTTTTTTAAATATTACTAATGTACATAGTCATATCTTATACACTTAACATTTAGCTGAACTTTAGCTTCTTCAACTTTTGGTTGAGCTTTATTCAACACTGTATTTTTATTTAACATTTTTATTTGATTTATTATGTATTATATATTTTATTTAACATAACAAATTTACTTAACTTGAAGATGATTTGAGAAGCTGAGGTGCAATAATAAACCTCTTACAGGTATCTGATGATGCAAATCAGTCATACTGCTGTCTGTTTCTCTTTCACTAAGTTTGTTGAGAGCTGGGCTCGAGGGAAGGAGATAAATACAGTAACCAGGGCAGGGTGTCCGCGGGTCCTTAAAAAGTCTTAAATGTCTTAAATAACGTTTTCCTAATATAAGGCCTTAAAAAGTCTTAAAAAGTCTTAAATTCGGATTCGATGGGTCTTAATTATTTTTGGTCTCATTACCGCTAAAATGTCTTAAAAAGGTAAATATGCAGATTTAAGTATGTAAAAGCTGATAGAACACTGATGAAAATATTGCTTCAGAATAAATTGTTTACTCCACCAAAACCTCAGTGATGCAGTTATTTTGTGGGGATATTTTGTATGGAATATTGTCTGCTGACATGAAAAGTTCACTGGATATCATAGTAATAAATACCATTTATTACAGCATTGATATTTTGTTTTCTTTTTAATTTATACACATTAAATATTACATATATGTATGTAATAAAATGTGAATTTCCATTACAGGTTTAGGTCTTAAATTTCATACAAGGTGGTATTAAAAAGGTCTTAAAAAGTCTTAAATTTAACTTGTTCAAGTCTGCAGAAACCCTGCAGGGGGAGTCAAACGCACTCGGCAGTGGCTGGAATATGAACACGCACATTCCAGCTGCACACAGCAACAGCAGGAAGCCATGTAGGAAAGATTCCTCAAACAACAAGATCAACTCACTGCTGTGCCAAAACATTAAAATTAAAAATGTAATAATTTTTTCCCCTGTTCAAAATAGTTTCATTTTAATGAGATTTATTGGCATGCCAAATATTTGTACAATGTATACTGTATCTTTCTATTCATATTTCCAGTAGCATTTCCAGCTTCACTGCATACAAATACATTAGTCCAAGGAAAAAAAGCCACCAATGACAGCCATTGTGTTTCCCTATTAAGAAATTGTATGTGAAGGTTTAACATGTGTGGTGTATATGTCTAATTTAATATCATAATATATTACAATTCCCGGATGTCTGTGTATTTTGTGCATTCTGTCTCCCTCTGTAAGACCAGTTTTGACACGGATATGTTACCTTGTAAACAGACACAAAAATGATCTCATAAAGTCCACACAGTAGCTGTATGGCAGGAAGTGTAAAACGGAGCGAGAGAGGATATTCAGCCATGGGGCAAAAAGCAGCTCTTGTATTGCACCCTTTGTTAATGGCTTGTTATATGACATGGTCCTTCACCCAAGGCTGTCATCAGAAGTAATGCTTGGTTCCTGTGTTTTTGTGTGTGTGTGTATGTGTGTGTGTGTGTGTGTGTGTGTGTGTGTGTGCAGCACATTTTATCACAGGCTACACAAACAGAGTAGAGTTTGAGGTAAAGGAACA